ACATATACACACCTCCTGACAGGCGTTATGATCTCCTGCTTTTAATCCACTCAGAGCTAAAAATAGCACCAAGATGCGGTCCTGAGCTAAAAGTGGATGTCACATGGCTGATGTAAATAGCATTTGATTTCAAAGGAAGATGGGTTTTGGATAAACAAGAGTCACATCCCACAATGCATCACAGAGACTGGTTTTATTAATGGAAGTCACCTTCAAAGCCTTAATGCACCTACAGCACGTGGGCCTTATTTGAAATGCTTTACATGCTAGACACATATATTATCACCATCACGTTTTCTTATTTAAATTGAGGAGGGGTTATTGAGGATGCTGAATCCTTTTCTGACATTATTGTTATTCTATAGGGAGCAGGGATTAATGCACTCTGAAGTTGGTGATTAGGGAGTCCCAGCATGCAGCTGTACTCTGCTTTAGGGCCGTAATGAATGTAGGTGATCCTGTGCTGTAGGCAAGGAGGAGTTAAGGGAGAGTGTGTGTTTGTGTGTGTGAGAGAGAGATGATGGGAAGGAATATTTCACAGAGGTATGGGCTTAAAAACAGGAAGCCAATCCTTTAAGAGGATTTTTGTTCTTTCCTTTTCTAAGGTCTCAAATATTAACATAGGATTTTCTTTTTCCTGAGGAATCATTTGTAACTGGTGTCTAATGGCCTTGCAGGACCTGCGGTATTTTAAGTCAAAGAAGACTAACCGAGGCGTCCTACAGGAAGGATGGATCGACAGCCAAGAGCCCATCATGTGCTCCTACAAACTGGTCACGGTCAAATTTGAAGTCTGGGGCCTGCAAACACGTGTGGAGCAGTATGTACACAAGGTCTGGATACAAAAACAAGTTATTTCCTTCTCATAAATACATTTCCCATTGCTCCTATATCCATGTTAGTGCCTTAGGCATTTAATGGGCTGCTCTGAAAACATTTGACACACAACTATGAACCAAATCAGTGTTATATCTGCCCTTTTCACATCTTACAGAATCATTTCATCAACTCCCTTTACACCGGCTGCACAGTTTAAACCTCATATCTCCTATATCCAAAATCCATTTCACCTATAGCCCTCTACAGCATCTGTCTCTGGGGTGAACTGTCCCTGTGTTCTCCTTGCCCGAGGCACACACACACACACACACACATACATGCACGCACACACAAGCACACACAGGCAGGGCCATTACTAACATAGTAAGGCGAGAGTGACTCATATTAATCCCATTCCTCCAGGGTTGTACTGGAAGGATTTAGAACTTTAATGGGTTTTAAAACGGCCTTCAGAGTTGAATCATTCTTATTCACCACCTCTCTCCTTGATCTCCCGCCCCCTTCTTCTGTCCCTCTTTACTTTACTTCCTGTATGATTTTGCTCTTCTTTTGATTCCTCGTCTTCTCTTTTTTTTTCTAATGCTGCTCAGGTGATTCGAGATGTCCTGCTTTTAGGACACAGGCAGGCCTTTGCCTGGGTGGATGAGTGGATTGGTAAGTTTGTTTGTGCTCATGAAAAATGGGTTAGTTTGTGTGACTCACCTCAAGATGGCAGTGTGATTATGTGGCAAGGACCTTTTGTAAATAACTACAGACAAATTAGTATATAGGCAAGGATTCTATGGAGAGTGAATTGGCATAAAACACTAAACTAATAAGTACAAAATAAGTTAATATGTCTCTTTAGACAAATCTGCGTGATTCAAATTCCATCATATTGTGTGATTTATACAGACAGCTTATTGGTCATGTGTTGACACATCTTAGGATAGACTCCATTTACGATTTGGCAACCACTCATATCACACCTTGCACATTATTGTTACTGAATTATAGCCTAAACTACACCTATGCATCTTATTCAGTGAGTTGATGAGGAGCTAAGTTGAGGGGCAGGGAAGCAGAGGGAGCTATAAAGGAGAGGTGTCGTGCTTTTCCGGTTATTACCCCTTGTGTGTTATGAAGGTTTTTATGCATGTAAACGGTGTGCAGAGTCAAAACCCTCAAAGTACACCCTGTAGCGAGTAAAACTCTAACACAGAAAATACCTCCCCAAAACGCCTCGTTGGAGATCGTCATTGTCCATTTGATTCTTCCGGGACGGCATGATGTCAACCCGTACCCGGAACGAAATGGACCAATCCGTGGAGCCGTTACGTTAAGCCCCCGCTGATTGGTCCAAATTGACCAATCCACGGACTTCCTCACACACACATCTGTGTGCAGGGAGCAGGCAGCTCAGCTGATTTCTCCTCCCTGGCTGCAGGCTGATAACAGACAGTTGGGATCGCGGCGAAATTCTCTCTGCAGACCCATTCTCACAGCGTTTATCAACCTTTGTCTTACTCAATATCAAGCCACACTTATTGTTTTTACTTCGGATGTGAGTTTGTGTGTGCTCAGGATGAATTTGGCTGTGTTTCGCTATGTATCCTAAACAAGGAAACCACACCTCCACGGAGCTCAGCGCGATTCACAACGTCCCGACCAATCAGAGCACACTGTGCTCACAGGGAGGGTGGGGGCTGGAGCTATTGGAGCTACAACGAGCCGTTAAAGGCAGAGAGTGAAATTCAGTGAATACACGTAGTTTACAGAGATGCTGTATGAGAAACCAATGTGAGTTTGGAAAAATGCACAATATAAATCTATTTTAGTAGACCTCAACAATGGAATTATGATCAGTGGAAATGGCCATGACACCTCTCCTTTAAGGAGATAAGGAATACTAAGATAAAGGACGTAATCAATGTTTATTGACTGCCTTATCTGAGTTATTAAGTCTTTCACATAAATGGAAATAAGCATTGACATACTGACTGTATAATCTTATTTGGCTAAAAAGAAATTATGAAACAATTCACTCTCTTCTTTTTTTTTCTTGAAGAACAGGCACAATCATACAGGGTCACAATTGAGACAATGATCTTCATCCATTTACATTTTTTAGAACAATTCACTCTCTTCCGTAGATTTAAATCATGAAATGTATTATTCTTGTTTCTAAGCGTGTGATTTCTCCACAGAAATGACCATGGAGGAGGTCAGAGAGTATGAGCGTGCCACACAAGAAGCCACCAACCTGAAGATCGGCTCCTTCCCTCCCGCCATCTCCATCTCAGAGACCCCCCTGCCCTCTGTCGCTCGCAGCGGCCCCAGCAGCGCCCCGTCCACCCCCTTCTCCACAGAAGCCCCAGAGTTCCTGTCGGTTCCAAAGGAGCGTCCCAGGAAGAAGTCTGCTCCGGAGACCCTGACCCTGCCGGACCCGGGCCGCAGGGATTCCCTCTTCAAGCTGCCAAACTTTTTCTCCTGGAACTCCAGTCCGCAGCCCGAATGAGAGCGGGGCTGAACACCTTCGACCCGTGGACCAGTGGAGGCTGCCTGCCCAGCACATCCCACAATAACCCCTCAGCCAGCCGAAGTGAAGGAGACTTTTCACTGTCCTGGTAACCCCCTCCGCAGACTCGTCGGTGTTACAGGTGCACACAGGCGGCCTGATGTCCTTAGCAAACAGTCCTGCGAGGTGTAAAGGTAGAGTGCGTCCCATTGAGAGAAACAGCTGGAGGCTCCTCATCCTCCTCAGAAAACCAGCGCCGTGCATCAGACAGTATTAGTCAGAGTGTAGCGTACATTCCTGAAAATGTTTTATCCCACAGTTTAACTCCTGTGTAGACAGATCAGTCACTTCTCGTGTACAGAAAACTGTTTTCTTTCCTGCTTTGAGCATCTGAGTCTCTGGCTGTGTTACCTGGAGCTTGTGGTTTGATGTATTTGTTGATGTGGTTGGGACTTTTCCACAGATTCTTGTTGGCCACTGTATCAGTTTAGTATTAAGGTTTTCACAGTCAGGTGTAAGGTGATTATGTATTCTTGTATATATTGTATCAACATTACATAACCTGTAAAATGTCCGTACTTAAAAACAATATTATATCCAGTAATGATGCTGCTATGAAAGTGTATTTTAGAGAACAGGACTCTCTTTCCTCTCTAAGTGTTAATGATAGTGAGGCACAACGTCTGTGATCGCATGATTTGAACTACGAAGGCTGCTTTTGAAATATTATATGTTCTCTATTTTTACTGTTATCTCAGTCTCACACTTGCTGTTGAGTTTTAACAGACTGGTCATGTGGTTTCTGTGTAATTTTGCAGCTTTATTCATTTCAAATGTATTCTTGTTTTTATGTCATACTGTTGATGGGTTTTGTATTCAGTAAATTATATTAAAATGCAATCCTGTTGTAATCCATCATTGTGTGGAGAGTCATTATTACCCTTTATTTGCAAATAAAAAAATAACCACTATACACACATTCATAACCTGAAGTTAGTCAGAAGCCAAAGGTGTTAACAATCATTGAATATATGCAAAGTGCTCATGGGACATAAACCAAATATCTTCCACACATTTTATTTTCTTGGTTCTAAAGGTTGCATAACAGTAAAGTTGTCTGACTTTCTGAACTGTTGTACCTGACATAGCATTAACATTCATTAAATCCACATTACTGATTATTTATCAAACATCTAGGCAGCAAGAGTCAACCCTTCAATATCTGTTTTGTACTGATTTTATAACTACAAACATGGGACGAACATTTTGTATTTGCTAAATGAAAGTCCTGCACTTAAGGTTCAATTCCTAAACAAATAGCTACAGTATGATTATATTTGACAAATGTAATGTTTATCCAATGAGAAAGGATTTTAAAACAAGTGTAAATGTAGTTGTGTGATTAAGTCCAGGCACGTTATATGGTATATATATTTAGTTTTTTATCTTTGATTTTATCCTTAATTGTATGAATCTGTGTGAATCTGTGCTGTCCTATTTTTCCTTCTTACCCTGTTGCTGTTAAACTACTGAATTTCCCCACGGGGATTGATAAAGGTTTATCTTATCTTATATAGTTTGTCTGGTAAGCACACACGGCAGCATCGATCCATTGGCTGTCATCAGTGATTCACACATTCATTCTTGTCAACAAACAGACTGCTCAGATTTTATGAAAAACTTTAATTAGAAAAATAATTCTGGACATAGACATACAGAGATAACAGCTTTGAGGAGTTTAACTCAGCAGGACAAACAAACTGAACTCTTGATTAGCAGTCCACAGGGTGTCTGCTTAACACATAATAAGTGCATAATAAAATAAATATTACACATGAAAACACTATCAAAACAATGTTGGTGAACACCCCATTTGCAATGTAATGAGTTAACGTCATTAAAATGAGCACTTTGACAAGAAAATGTTATAACGATATATATATCTAAAAGAAAGTGTCCATACCCCTCAGAACCCCTGTCAAATATGAAATACATATAAAAAAAAAACAATGTTTGTACATCCCACGCTGTAATGACAGCACAGAAATAAATAAATGAGATGTAAACCACCACTGAAAACCGACCCAGTTAATAAATATTTGAAGTGAGAATGAAGAAGGATGTGTGATGTGTTCTGATGTGCGGGATTGAGCCGTCTCTCCTGTCACTATCTTTCCTCGAGGCCTATGGGGGAGCCGTTTGTTCTCTGTCTCTGTTTGAGGCTGTGCATGGCGATGAGGAAAACTTCATACCAGAAAAAGGTGAAGCCTGTAGACAGCGCGGCCTTCACCAGGCTCGGAGAGAGGCCTTTGAAGAAGCCTCGGACACCCTCATCTTTGCCTATTTGCACCGCGCAGTCCACCAGGCCTCTGTAACTGCGCACCTGCGCGGGAGGGACATGACACAATACAAATCAGACCCCAAATATGTACCTCAAATCAAGGCTGTAATGGTTTTGGTTTTTAATTTAATTTAATTCAGTTTTTTATACAATGGGCTTTACATCAGTGTTGGTGTGTTTTTGTTAGGAACAGGTGAGCTATGCAGCTACATATATGCAAAATAAGTCATTGCCGAACTGTGTAGTAGCACAGTAGCCTTATGTTTACATTTTCTGATTTGGGAATGAACTTGAGCACTCTACTTTCACTATTTAACTATTAAGAAAATTGTCACCTGCATTTACATCCCGACCCCCGCTGGGTCATATTGGACCTGTGCTGAACTACATTACTTCAATGATGTTCTTTAATTCTGCAAAACGAGAATGCATACGAAACAATGGGGTTAAATTGTGAAGCAATTGCGACATAGCGCCCTCTGCTGGAACGCCGGGAATTATGCAGTCTCCTTTTCTTTGGGAGAAATATAAATGATAGCCAAAACTGAAATTAATTTACAATTATTGTGATTTCGTTTTTTCAAGGACCCGAAGACCATTTATTGTCATTATGCAACACAGGGTGAAACCAAGTGTTTTTTTTTTTCTTAACCAGGCAAGAATCTTTTCCGTGACTTCTTTGGGTATTGTTTTAAAAGAAATTAAAACATTTTACAGCTATTTACATTTTGGACTCAGTTTTCTTTTACAATAAAAACCCTGTTTCCTCAAACCTGCAGCAGAAGAGCTTACCTGTCCAAAGTGCACTCTGGCTGCTTCAAAGCCGCCCACCTGCAGTCTCTTCTTGAAGAGGTCAAATGGGTATGTGAGGGTTTTGCTAATCATTCCAGCTCCACTCCCACAGACCAGGCTTCCCAGGAGTCCCTTCCCTTGGAGGTAAAAGTTATCAAATTCAGGCTGTGAGCATTTTATGAATGTGGTGTAATGTGGTGTGATACATGCCATTATCTCCACTGACCTGCTGAGTCTCCAGCTGTGGTTGGAGGAGGCAACAGTTTCTTAAAGACATTGAAGAAGAAGAACTGCAGCCCTGCGTACGGAAACACCGCCAGCAGTGTTGGAGATAGTCCGCGGTAAAATGACAGCACTCCCTCTGAGCGCCACATGGTGAACACAGCGTGACGCAGGTTCCTGTACACCTGAGAAGACAGATGAAGCATGACAATGAAGGTCTGCAGGGTCCACCGTCTAAATACTGGCCAATGGGGGGCCAGCTTTATTCTTTTTGTGTAAGTAATTCACAGAAGTAACTCGCAATAGTTCCTTATGATATTGTCAATATCACTTATTTTATTTAACTTCCAAATGTTGAAAATCCCTGAGTGCAGTATTGCATTTTCTCACAATGTGATTATAGTTAATTCACCGTGCAATGATGATTATAAAACAATATATTATTCAGACCTAGAAGGGGAATAGAAGCAAGAGAATATATGAAAGGCTTTGGTTAATTAAAACTAGGCCATTAAATACTGTCTAGGTCAGTTTCTGAGGCCGTGAATTCACAGTGTAATGGATTATTCTCTGTCAGATTTTCCATAGCTACATGCTGATCTAGTTATGTGTACATCAGCAGTTTAAAGTCCCACCTTGGTTTGTCCCTGAGCTGCAAAGCGTGTGCGCAGTATGTCCAGAGGCTGGCAGACCACTGTGGCAGAGCAGGCAGCAAGACCCCCGCACAGGAAGTGAACTCCTGCCGTCTGGCTGTCATACAGCGTCGAGTTGTGGACCGCCTCCGTCAGAAGCTCAAAACTGGCAAACTGCAAACACATAAATAAAATAGTTTGTTTGGAAACAGGAAATCATGTGATAAAGATAGTTTTCAACGGTTGTCTCTACCTGCACGGCTCCGAAGCAGATGGAGAGGAGCTGAGCAGGGACGTGGCCCTTCCAGAACGCAGAGACCCCCTCCTCTGAGTAAATGCAGCGGGTCGCTTGAAATAATCCCCGGTACTTCCCCATGGGGGAAGACACATGCTCAATCTGAAGCTGTGGGGAAATAAATAGGGATTAAAAAAACATTTTCACAACTTTATTTTCCATGATCGCTCAGCTACTGAAATGTAATGCGAAGAAGATAAAGAGCTAGTATGGAGCCTGTATTTTCTATGATTTAAATATCTTCATCATCACTGAGGTCTTTTCTGTCAGCTCCTGGTTGTACATGTACAGATCATTACCTGAAATCTGATCTTGAGCACGTCCAAGGGGCTGATGAGGGCCCGGGTGACCATCCCAGCAGCTGACCCAGCCAGGGCGGCCTCCTCTGGGGAGAGAGCTGAGCCCTGAGCCCGGGGGTCGTAGCCCACCATGTCTCCACTGTCAGATTCCTGCTAACACTGCAGACAGAGAAATCTGAATTATTCAAAACTGTCTTCATTGATGTCTTGATTGTTTAAAGCATCTATGGATCTGGCTCGTATTGATAGTGTGGTGTCTTGTAATCAAAAAGACTATAAACATAACACAAGATGAACTTGGTCATTTCATATTGCTAATAGGAGTCTGAGCAGAAGTCTGTGGCACATCTTTCTTGATGGACTTTTTAGATACTGTGGTCAAACCTAAACTATCGTTTAAAAAAAACAATATCTAGAGAAAATCAAGCTGTCATGACTATAAAATAAATCTCTGAACATCATGCATCAATGAGGATAATATAGTGGCACCATGTAGAGGACATGCAGTGGGACCTTGGGGCTAGCTAAGTTAAGCTAACAACAACTGAGCAGCTCTTTACTTTGTAGAGAGCTCCAGTGGTGAGAAATGCAGACAGACACTTACCTTTCAGTATAACAGTTGATGCGGCATCATGGATACATCTACCGCTACAGTTCGGAACTGTCAAACATTAATATGGCACGAACACAGTTCCTATTTCACGCCACTAACACTGCTAGCATTACTTCCGGGTCAGGATACAGAGGACTCCACCTTTCAAAGAGGAATTATCGCAACAAGATGAGTCCTTACCTACCTTAAACAAGATGTGCCTGCATAAACCACCAGATAAACCCATGAAGTCATGATTCCATTAGCGTGAACTTGAAGGCAGATATAATAGCATTTACAATGAAAATGTTTAAAATAAATATTCAAATTACGCAGAACAAGCACCGTGCCTACAAGAATAGGGGTGTTACTGCTTGATATACACAGACACACATCTACCACGTTTATTCTGTGTTTGCGGTTTTTTTCTGGCGAGGTGAAGGGAGGCAGGGACTTCTCTTGTCATGATACTTAATCTTTGTGAGGCTGCGTTGAGGAACATCTACCCAAGTGCTATGACCACCAGGTTAGATGCAAAGAATTGGCGTCAATTGTAGGTAATTTATTAACATATTATTTTTGAAATGTAAGCATTTCTGTCTTCTTGATTTGTAGTTAACGATAACCGGTTTCTTTCCTCTGGCGGGTGGGTGTAACGTAAATATAGGTTAAGTAACTTGACGCTAACTCGTCTTAACATAAACGATGTGTCTCTGCATTTCGACAAAAGGACACAAACGAACCAGTTTAATATTAGTTAACACTATTTGGATGAGATTACAACAAGTCAGCAAAACTGTGTTAATGCTGCATTTACTATCGGTATCATATCGATACACCCAAGTTACATTACCCAAATTGGCGTTTAGCTAATGTTGCTTACATGTAACACTAGCCAAAGTTACTTGTGAATGACACGTGGCTAATTTATGGTATTAATATCTCACAGTTTAAAAGAGGACATTGTTATTGAGTTAAATCTGTTGCTTAAGGGTATTGGTGACCTGTTGTGTGACCCGAGTTTGTGCATGTAATCCCTGCTGTGCCTCAGTGAATGAGCTGTGGGCTGCAGCCGGTTTGATGACAGTACAGGATTTCGCGGTTATTGTTGTCCCTCAAATTGTTCTGCAGTCTTTGTCTGTAATGCATGTTGTGCCCACAGTATTGGAGGACAACGTTTATTATGTGTGAAAACCATGCATTTATTTTGAAAACAACAAATAGAAATGTTAAACCCGTATAAAATGTTGTAATAAAAGGTATCTTCTGATGTATTTTTACAGAGTTACAGCTCTCAGGTGGACTTTGGGTGCCACCATCTACAATGGAGAACTCTGCTGAAGAATACAGGATCCAGTCGTTAGACATGGACACACAGATGTTGCTGAAAACAGCCTTGAAAGGTTAGCATGTCCTCTTATTACTAACTTAAAACATTTCTACATCAGTTCAATATTGCAAACATCTTTAACCATTTCCATAACTTTTCCTGCATTAGCATTGTATTGACACCTAATCAATATTCACTGTGTCAATAAAAGACATTTAAAATGTATTTCTTTTGGTTTCTTTCAGATCCAAGTTCTGTGAACCTGGAGAAGGTTTCTGATATCCTCGTGGATCAGTCTTTGAAGGACCAGGTTTTCAGCAAAGAAGCCGGACGCATCTGCTACACCATTGTGCAGGTCCGTACTGTTTGCAGTCTGTTGTCTTCATTTGTTTCTTTGATCAAGACACTGAGCACCAGTGAGACAGAGGGATTTAAGGAACCAGAGCAGGGCTTAAACATCTGATTGATTGTTAATCCTCTTACCTTATTAATGCCTAACTGGTAGTTTACACTGCAGCAACAGGAGGCTTAAGCCAGTTTACCTACACCGCTTTGTTTCCTGACTTTTTGTCCATTCTTCACCTACTATCTGTCCTCTCTCTCTGGTCCCTTTTGGTGCAGGCCGAGGCCAAGCAGAACAACGGAAACGTGTTCAGAAGGAGCTTGTTGAACCGCCTGCAGCAGGAGTTCAAGAGCCGCGAGGAGACCAGGGCGCGCTCGCTGCAGGAGTGGGTGTGCTTAGTCACGTTCATCTGTAACATCTTCGACTACCTCAAAGTAAGTTGGAAGGAATGTCAAACTTCATCATGTTGACATATTGTCTTAATCTCGACGATAGTGTGGCATTGATGAATAAGTACAGATCAAAGCATTGGATATCTTTGATTACTTCTTGTGCTTTATGTATCAGATACACGGTACATGTGCTTATCCTGTTGCTCATCTTGATTGTATCGTGCAGTAATAGAAGTGTTTAATATATCAGTGGTGAGCCTTGAAGGTGTTGCTCCAGTTCACAGAGACTCAGGTTTCTTCCTTGATAATGGCTATTGTCATTTCACACAGGTCACCTTTTTATGGTTTCACTCACACTGCTAGTTTTTCACTTGTGTGAAAGAGTGATTATTTTTAAGAACTCAACAATGTTACCTTGAGAAACAGAACTTAACCTTTACCTCTACTGACATCCAGGTGAACAACATGCCGATGGTGGCTCTGGTCCATCCTGTGTACGACTGTCTGATCAGACTGTCCAAACCAGATGCTCTTATGAATGAGGAGGAGGTGAGGAAGAATCTGAAGTTATTTCAACTTTTAGTTTTATGTATTTAAATAGTTAAGAGTTTTTTCTGTTAACTCCATTATATTTTCATTATTCTTATTCTGAGGGAAAATCTGATCAAATGGGGGTCTGTGGCCTAAATTGGTAATAAGATCGGCTCCTTGACACAAAAAAGGTTGAGAAAAACTGCACTAGAAAATATAGTTTGTATTATTATACATCAATAAGTATAAACATTTGACAGCCATCTTTGAAAACGATCAAAAGTCCAGTAGATCATTTATGTATATAGCAATATAAAAAACTACCCCAGGGTCAGGGAGCTTTACAATCTGTACAGTTCACAAAACCCTCTGTCTTTTGGACCCTCCCTTGGTTATAGGAAGAACTTTCTAAACAAACCCTTTTAATTTGGGGGGGATGAAAATAAACACTGAAAGAGCGAATGAGGAGGGATCTTTCTCCAGGGACAGAAACATGCAATAGGTGTCATGTGTCACAAACGTTTTGAGATAGAATACATTCCTCGAGGGCGTCTTTCTCTCCAGATAAGTCACTGACCTCCCCCCCCCCCCCCCCCTGCAGGTGGACTGCCTGGTGCTGCAGCTGCACCGCATCGGGGAGCAGCTGGAGAAGGTGAACGGCCCGCGGATGAACGAGCTGTTCTACCTGCTGCGGGACGGCTTCCTGCTGCAGGAGGGGATCACCTCCATGGCCCGCCTGCTGCTGCTGGAGATCCTGGAGTTCAGGGCGGGGGGGTGGGTGCTCAGCGGCACCGCCCACAAGTACTACTACAGTGAGATCGCTGACTAGGACCCGGGATACCTGTCCTCAGTCAACACTGATCATTAAACCAGCAGATTCATGAAGAACAGCCGTGTTTTCCAGGCTGACCGGATATGCTTTTGGTTAGAAGGCGGATCACAAAGTGTAAAGATACGTTTTTATTTCGCTGGATTGTTCCAGGATGTTCCCTGCGTTTGATTCTTTTTCCGAGACATGGTGCCGTGGATGTGGAATGTGCAATAGTTCAGAAGGTGTTGACGTTAAGTTACGAGGTTTAGTCACATTCAGGTTCACTTTGTTTTACGGTTTGAGCATTTTTTTTAATGTTTTTTTTATTGATCTTGCAGGCATTCCTGTTCAAAGTCCACCGTTTTTTTACCAAATCCAAAGGACTTCAGAGGACAGTCAGATGTATGCTGACTTGGTTTTTGCTTTACAGTTTGTTGTTGTGACCAGATTTAAGTGAAAATCAATATTTTTTAATTCAGTTGAATATTTTTAGTGTAGAATTTATATTTTAGTAATGCTTTGAAATGCAGTTCTGAGGATTTTTCAACCTAATGTGTCTGTAGGACTAATGTTACTGCCTCATTAAGTGAGGACATTTTTTTTAGATGAAGCGTTGAGTCTTAAGTCAGGGACCTTCTGTTTTTTATTTTGTTACAGCTGAACTTGTATATAAAATACCAAGATATTGCTCACAGTTTAAATTGAAACTGTTTCTACAGATAAATCAATCAGACATTCATTTCATTTCTGGATTCATACGCTTTAGTTGTAAAACGACTTGTGCCAATACAGCAGAGCAGCTTCATCCAAACCTCTGGACAAAGCCAAAGCTCTTCATCTGAGGACCGTGGTGAAGGAAGTACTTTGATAATGCTCTAAAAATAAAACGAGCAAAACCACATTAAAGTAAAAGTATTCATTATGCTGAAGGACCCATTTCCAATCATAAATGTCATATTGCATTCTAATTATTTGATCAGCTGTCAGGGCTAATTTAAATGTACTTTATATACTGTAGGTTAGCTTCTGAATTTCTCCCAATCGATGCATCAGGTGTATCAAAATCAAACAATGTATTTAATATTAATCTGCGTCTGCACAATAGCTAATAACTTAAGTTATTAAATAAAGGTAGTGCAGTAAAAGAGTAATATTCCCTTCACAAATTGCACTAAATGTGCTTTAGTTACTTTCACCATTGCAGCAAGGAATAAGGTATTTATCCTCCATTCACATGACATCAGTTATGAGCCTAAAGCTAACGGAAGTGTTTTTCCTTTTGAATTCAGGACCAGCAGCAGCGGCTACACACAGCATGTAGCCGAGCTCAGCTTCTCATCAGTCTGTTGTCTTTGTTGAATCTAAGAGACGGCTTTAGGGAGAGGAAGACAAACTCACTCATGGCCCAAATGTTACATCTCTTTGAAAAATCTGTACCTGTAATTACGTGTAAATAACGAAAGCTTAATATAAGATTGGCATACAATTTAAGAATATTCAATGTTGGAGAAGAATGTGAAAGCCCAGCTATGGTCAGGATTTTGGACATTTTTGTACTTTATTTTTCAAATTGGTAGCTTCCATTTCGGACAAAAAAAATGTTTAATGATGTAAAATTGTAAATCCGAAATTAGGAATAACTCGTCCCGTAACGACAGGGAACATTACTGACTGCAATATCTGTTGATATATTTTTATTACGCTGTTGCAAAATGTTTACATTACTCAATCCCATTTTTGATGGCTGGGTTGTACATTTCAAGTTATTTGTTCAAATAAATCTTGAAGTTTTCCTTAATTGTGTGTTTTGTGTTAATTAACAGTACAACAGAGCACGATTGTACACAATTCCATTTCTCAATACAAAAGTTGTTACCATGTTCCCCTTTATACTGCACTGTTTTTCTTACAGCACTTCTTTACCAAAGGATTTTCACATTGTTCACTATTTACAGAATCGACATGATGTGTCACTGAATCCTCCACACGTGTGTCCAGTCTCAGTCAGAAGAAACATTTCAGTCTTTAAAGCTCCTTTCTAAGCCCAGCGGTAGTGAGCGTAGGCTCTGTTGGCCTCGGCCATCTTGTGCATCTCCAGCTTCTTCTTGATGACGTTCCCCTCCCTCACGGACGCCGCCAGCAGCTCCTGGGACAGTTTTTCATACATGAGCGTGCGTCGGTGTTTGCTTTCCCTGCACTCTGTGATTATCCATTTCATGGCAAGGTGGCGACGCCGATTATCAGAAAGAGGGATTGGCACCTAGATAAAAAGATTATAGTAAAACATCTTGGATATTTGACCTAATCTTCATATAGTTGACTTATTGTAGCTGCTTTATGTTTAATCTTAAAGCTCCTCATTGAACTTTAAGATTTACTTTTGCACAAAAAAGTATAACCATTAGGTTGTGAAACTGTATCGCAGATATGATCGTTACAATTCATAGATGACATGTTTGTAATACATTTTTTTGTTTAATCACCTCAAAAGGCAGCAGTGAAAATATATTTTGTAATAGTTTTACTTGTGCAGAAAGAGTAAATAAGCTCCTTCGATGTTCCATGAGAGCAGATGGTCTCAGTACCCCTGAGTATTTTATGTAAATGATGATGATGATCAGCTTCATCACTCACCTGGTAGTACTTCCCGCCTTTCTGAATGTTGGCCAGCCCAACGACAGGCTTACAGTTCTCCAGAGCCTGGTGAAAAATGGCGTAGGGGTTACACTCGATTTCTTCCTTCTTCCCCTCAGGAGCTTTGTGGTATTTATCCACCTGTTTCCTCTTAATGTTCTCCAGCGTCTGGAAGCAGAGAGATACATTCATGTCAATCGTATGCTATAAAACCAACAGCAGATCATTGAGCTCCACTTGGACCCTGTGCTAGCTTTCTTACCATTGATATGATCTCATTGGCCAAAATCTTGTTTCCATCTAACATCATCATGCCGACGAATTTACTGGAAAGAAAACACAAAAGTGATGACCTGACATGAACTCTCAGCTCTGACTTTATCACGTAAACATAAAAGAGAGCAGAAATATCTGTCTGTGGTACCTGATGACGGGGTCGTTGAACACAGAGCTGGTGACATCATTGGTCGCTGCCTTGATGGGTCGGAGCGATTTGAGTTCCCGCTGGTCCTTCTCCTCGGCGCTCAGCTCTGCCTCTGGTTTGTTGTAGGCCTCCTTCCTGACCTCCGGCTCAAGATAGTAAGGGTTGTATCTGCTCCATCTCACCAGGAACACTCTGCAAACAAAGGACACAAGAAAGAAAAACCTTTGACAAATACATCACTGATTGGGTCAGGGGATCCAAAAGGGGGGATCAGGGGATCCAAATAAAAATCAGCACTGAAACTGAAACATTTAATTGATGAGTTGTCAAATTAAGACATTTTATGGTTTTCTTGTTGTTTTGAATGCGAGTATATTCAATTTATTTAAGATTTGGACTGTTGCTTTCGGAAAGAGCAGATAATTTGAATAATTGTTATGCTGATTTTTATTCATTTTTACCATATGTTTGGCATTTGGATTAAACATGTAATATATTAATTGATAACTGACTCTTTAGTTGAAAAAGAAATTAGTTGTAGTTCTAATTGATTGAATTTTCTTTTACATATTTAATTGTTTATTATTAATCAAATACAATTTCATAACAACTCCTGAGAAAATTAGTTGGTCATTTATTAATTCATATTTGCTGCTTTTCCGAGTTTTATATAATTGTTAATTGGACAACTTTGGACTTTTCGGATTTTTTTTTATAAATGTACCCTTAGTATTTAGCTGTTAGTATAATTTTATAGATGAACGATTAAATATTCAATGATGAAAATAATTGTTTTGTTCTCCAATTTGTTATCGTGTGATGGAATTATCAATAATTTAAAAGAGTAAATGAACACCTCAGTGAGTAAAAAAGCAGAACAATTACTTTATCAGATCAACATTTGCAGATAGTTTACATTCGTGTGAGCAGACATGTAACACCAGAGCCAGTTCGCTATTTCAACCACGTTATGTACATCATTGACTCTGAAATGCAAAGAACATTGTCGCATTGCAAAGTTAAATAAAATAGACAGCTAACAACACGTGTAAACTGGTTGTGTCTTCATGAAATAATAATTACCTTGGTGTCCAAGGTTTTAATAATCCTGAGATGGAAGCTGCCATCTTGAAAATGTGAGTGCCAGTGTCAGGACCCCGGGCTTAGTACCTCCTGTGGATGCCTTACAAAAATAAACGCCTAAAATCCAAATCATTATTTTATTTGGCAGATATTTTATTTAAAACCCGTGGTGAATTATGTTTTCTAAAATGCTAGATGCGGTGTTTTTTATTTTTTATTAATTTCACACAATAATTACAAACAATAATTTCTGGCTCTCGCCTACACGCTGGTGACGTCACGCGATGTTTTCAGTGCTATGGCGTACCAGGAAGGGGAGTCGCTTGAATCTTGGCTCAGTGAGTGATCAATCCTATTATATATGAATTAAATAATGTGGGTAATTAGCTAGATTACTTGCTCCGTGTGAAAGGGCAGTGAGTCCGGTAACTCAGAGCCTGTTAGTCGCTGTGCAGCTGATAGATTCTGATTCACAGTCAGCTGTCTGCATCATGATGGGTGGAGAGCCTTTTATTCAATGTCTGGTTCACATCATCTACCAGTGACAGCTCAGTGATTGTTCAGAGAAGCTCGACAGATTTGGTTCCTTCGGTACAGTTTTAATACTGGCAGCTGTTTGATAGATACTTGTTTATATCTGTAGGTCCCAGTCAGAGCTGTGAGGCACCAGATTTACTCTTTGTCAACTCTCCTCTCTGTGGGTGTGATTTAGGATGCTTATTTTCCAGAAGCACATATCTGATATTACCAAAACTGCATTTTATATCATCATATAAATATACAATGATGATGGTATATTGAGATATATAATGTTAAATGCATCCTGTTACAGTCAGATTCTGAAAAGCTGTTTCATATTTTTATTTCCATATGCACTTTTTGCTGGACTGACGAAGCAGGTAGCAATAAACTCCTGCTTATTTAGAATAATGCAGCTATAATGTAATTAAAACCCAAATGTTTAAATATATATTTCTCCTCTCTAGCGCCTTATAGTAAAGTAATTTATTTCAAAATATTCCATTTTGTGAATGGCTTGTTGCATGGATGAATTTGGTATCTAAAATATATTGAATTCGAGTCCAAAGTCTTCCAAAATCATTTTGTATAAAAAGGAAAAAATCCTTTATTTTACATGGCAATATATATTTAAATGACCAACCTGTGCAACCAACATGGGTTTTCATCTTCATTAAGGTTTGTATTTATTTATGAATTTCTCCATTGCACTGCTAATACAATGACAACAGTAATTACAAAGAGGGAGAAAGACAACAATTGCTGCATTGTTATGTGGATCACAAGACTCACAGGGAGACATTTTCTTAGTAGGATGTGAGGTGCATTCAGGTGTACAAAGAGCTCCTCGTTCACACCAGTTACTGTAGGTTAGTGTGAGTTAATGTGTCCAACCGTGAAACTGTTGTGCTGTCAAACCTCATATCTGACTATTCAGATATGCTGTGTGGTCATGCTGCCTCATCAACACTTGTCTTATTTTGTATAGTTGTGTTTTGCTCTTTGTTTTCCTTGTATTCAGGTCTCTCTTGTAAAAAGTAACATAATCTCAAATAATATTGCCTGTAAAAAAATAATAAATAAAATGTTTTTCTCTAACAGATAAAGCCACCCATCCTTCAAACAGACAGGAGGACTGGGAGTACATAATAGGCTTCTGTGATCAGATCAACAAGGAACTGGAAGGGTATGTCAGGGATATATTTAAAAAAATCTTTAAAAAAACAATCACCTCCAGAAAAAAGGTTCTAATCTGGAATTTCTTCTTGTAGTCCTCAGATAGCGGTACCTCTGCTTGTTCACAAAATCCACTCACCGCAAGAATGGGAGGCTCTTCAGGCTCTTACAGTAAGAAATAATTCACCTTAATATCAACAAACACCTTTTTTTCTCAACGTTTGTTCCTAATCCAAATGATTTTGTATCCAGGTATTGGAGGCATGTATGAAGAACTGCGGGAGAAGGTTTCATAATGAAGTCGGAAAATACAGATTTTTGAATGAGCTGATTAAAGTTGTGTCCCCAAAGGTAAGGTCCACAAATAGGTTAAAAATAAAAAGTAGGTTGACTGTTTGTCCTACCATCCAGCCTCTTTTGAATCACTTCCTGTTTCCAGTACATGGGCGACAGTGCATCAGAGAAAGTGAAGTTGAAGATAGTAGAGATGCTGTACAGCTGGACCGTGGCGTTCCCTAATGAAACTAAGATCAGTGAAGCCTACCAGACGCTGAGAAGACAGGGTGTGTTGCGAACAGAGAGTTTACATGATTAAATGTGCATGTGAACGGACTTCTTAATATCCTCTCTCTCCTCACCAGGCCTCGTCACTAACGACCCGGAGTTACCCCTCGACAGGACTCTGATTCCCTCTCCTCCGACACGACCCAAACATCCTGTGTTCGACAACGAGGACATGGGCAAGGTGAGAGAGTGAAGGAAAACTACATCTGTTCTGTCATTTTGTAAACCAAACTACAGCCAGTATATATTTTTGTATAGCTTTGGCAATGTCTATTTTTGCAAACGATATTGCACTCTTTAGTTAGTTGTAAAAGAGTATCTGTAGAAATCGGTAAATGTAAAGTATTATCTCTTGGTGCCTTTAAAAAAAAAAAGTAAATCAAACAAAATAGTATTGGAGAATAAATTCCTTTTATTTTTTTAACTAAACAAACAATTTGTGGTATTTTAGCAGTATAATGAAAGCTACAAACAACAGAACTAGGTACATTTTAATATCTGTAATATCAATGATCATAATAACCAAAGACTTTATCGGAAATATTTCTCTTATAAAGCAGCCCTGAGTTAAGTTTTTAACCCGAGGAAAATAAGCAAATGTAATACATTCTCTAAATAATTTGTGGCTCTTTATTAAATACATTCTCTAGAAATCAAGGGGCATCTCACCAAAACTAAGCAGTATCCTTTATTCTAGGACTAGATTATACATGGGCTCTCATATCTACATGATACATTTGTAAGTGTGTAAGTGTGTGTTTGTGTGTGTGTTTAGCTGCTTGCTGAGCTTCTGCGAAGTAAAAACCCAGAGGACCTCCAGGAAGCAAACAGACTGATCAAAAACATGGTGAAAGAGGTAAGAGCTTTCAGGCAAAAAGGGTTTGTAAACTTTATTTTTCACAAACTGTTTTATAGTAATAAATGTTGGACCTTTTCTGTGTATGTATTTTGAAAGTGCGGGACTTTTACCCTTACAAAGCTAAACAAAATTAGTTATAATATTTTTGATATATGACACGACCATGTTTTATGTGTAGTACAGAAAACATTGTGTATTGTTGTATTTCACAGGATGAGGCTCGAGTACACAAGGTAACAAAGCGCATACACACTCTGGACGAGGTGAACATTAACGTGAAGCTGCTGACGGAGATGCTGTCCCACTACAACAAAGAGAACTCCACTGACTCAGACAAGGACATCATAAAGGTGGGTTCCCTCGCTCTCTCACACACACAAACACACACACAAGATGGTAAACTTCAGGGGAAGAATGTTCAACTGGCACACAGTTCATTGTATCTGTTGTCTTTCAGTGTCCTTTACAACCTAAAGGTCAATTTTCTTACACATGGGAATTTTTTCTTCATATATTGCATTTACATTTTGTATTTCTTCCCAGGAACTCTACCAGCGGTGTGACAAGCTGAGGCGCGCTGCTTTCAAAATGGCCACCGAGTCAGAGGACAATGACACCAATTTAGGTTTGTTTGTTTGGTATTTTCTTTATTTGGAAAAACGTAGTTAGTATTTACCATTCAATTGTGTATAATGTGTATCTTTTGGCTCCTCAGGTGACATCCTGCAGGCCAGCGATGACCTCTCCAGGGTCATAAACTCCTACAAGAAGATTGTTGAGGGGCTGCCCGTCAACGGAGACAGCGAGGAGCCCCGACCCACAGCTGGTCACAGTGAGAGTGGTGAGAGACAATTTATAATAGTGTTTTACATAATTCAACATAAAAACAAGATGTTTTACTCCAGTAATCCTGCCATTGTGTAGTTAATTCAGCAGCTGCAATGTATCTCCCCCCAGCAGAGACCACAGAGACTCTGATCGACCTGGACGGCCTCGACACTCCCAGCCCTCCTCAACCGGGCCCCCCTCACTTCCAGTCCTCAGATCTGGTCTCCATCAGTCCCATTATCTCCTCCATCCCCATCCTGCCTCCTCCTCCCAAACGTCTTGCCGGCTCCCAGAGCAGCAGCCCCAGCCACCCCCCCCTCGACATGGCCTCCACGTCACTCTCTCTCCTCGACGATGAGCTGCTGTCTCTAGGTATGATATCCCTATGGTGACTTATTGTGGGTAATAAGCTTCATGCTCTCTATCTGTATCTTCAGAAAGGCCTTCTAGCTGTTTGTCATAGCCTACATGTGTCTGTCTGATGTAGTTTTACAAAATACACTTTGGGTCCGTTGTAGAGCTGAGAAAACACATACAACTTTTATTCCACAAGCAGGTCAATTCACAAAGATTTCACTGCTAGATAAAACTGAAAAAAGACCAGACACGTGCAAGAAAACTCTGACTCCACAGCTAGTCTAGCTTCCACTCGACTCTACAGACAGACTGCGATGATATGTTTTCTAGTTGATAGAAAACATCCAGAATATACTGTACGCTAAGGTGTTTTTTTAGATTTGTAGATTTAGCCCAGATCCACCAAAATGTAGTATAAGATAATGCTTCATTTACATATTTAATGTAGTTTAATACAAACAATATGGTTTTCGTTTTATCCTATTCACCTGTAGTGTCCCCTCTCTTTTGACGATACAAATGTCTGTACCTTTTTTCAGGACTGAACGACCCCCCTACCTCTCTGAGCAGCCAATCGAAACCCAAGTTGAACGATTTGTCCAATCACTGGACTACCTTGCAGGTACATCTACAATGGTTTGTGAGCAACTTGAACCAAACCACAGCTTGTTAGTTCATATGTAAAAGGAGGGTGTAAGTTATCTTGTGTCTCCTCGTCTCCTCTGCAGGCTTCAGCTTCAGGTCTGGATATGTTTGGCGGTGCAGCTTGTTCAGGTCCCGTGGTACCACCGTCTGAGCCCGCTGCAGCCACAAACAGTCTGCAGAACCTGCAGGACCTGGCCATGATGGGGTTTCCAGATCATAAGAGGTACAGATTCATGAGCATTATCTGTTGTTATGTTTAATAACAGAAACAGTGGTTTATAACTATTTGAACGAAAGCAAAAACAGTCATTTCCACAGAATTGTCTCTTGTTTGTAGACATTTTGCCATGTTTCAGTGTTTATTTTTTCTACTAAAGCAATGTTGGTGCTCTATTTGACCGTTCTACAGTACTTTAAGGTCTCAAAGCAATCTATAAATTGTGGTTTTCAGTTCCTCGCTGATGGCAGCAAGAGGAAGCAGCTTCGGGATGTCTGCAGCAGCGCCTCCCCTCATAGCTGGACATGGCTCTCCCTCCTCACCCTCTTTTCTCCAGTGTACGGTGCCGGGCTCTCCCGCTCTGTCCCATGCTAAGGTCCAGAGCCTGGGCTCGGCCCCGGGCAGCCCCCTGTTCCGCTCTCTGTCCCCCTGCCACCCTCCCCTCCACGGCAGCCCGGCCAGAGCCACAGACGTCTCCCTGAGCAACGTGCACATCCCTCTGGAGACAATCAGACCGAGTAAGGACGGGAGGGATTCAAAAATGATTCCAAAACATGTAGCTGAATGTAAACTCTTTAAATGTCTCATGTCTGCCTCTCCTCAGGTAAAGTGCTGCCAGTGACGGCCTACGATAAGGACGGTGTTCGCATGCTCCTCAACTTTGCAGCTAACTGCCCCCCCGGCAGGACTGACGTGTTAGTGATGGTGGTCTCAACGCTCAATACTGCCCCCCTGCCTGTTCAAAATGTGGTACTGCAGGCTGCTGTGCCCAAGGTAGACACACTTCTTCCTCAGACAGTGATGTGTTTGTTTTACTGTAACTGCCAGGAGTTAGCCTATGAGAAGAAGTGTTTGAGGGTATGCTGTATTTATGTCTGCCTGCAGGTAATCTCAGATAATAATAGGCTCATCAGCTTAATATTTCTTATGGTCATTTAGGTCTGTTCTTTACCCGCCTTAGCCTCCCGTAGCAAGAAAACACTAGTTGTGAAATCGTCTTATAAATAAAGCTTTAAATACTCTGTGCTGACTCCACCTTTTATCCCCCACCAGTCAATGAAGGTGAAGCTGCAGCCTCCATCAGGAACAGACCTGGCTCCATTTAACCCGATCCTACCACCGGCCTCCATTACCCAGATCATGTTGCTGGCCAACCCAACAAAAGTAGGTGACACATTAACACTCGAGGACATAAATGAACATATAACGAGGGATCTCAGAGCCACACAACTTTAAGGATAACACTAAAAGAAGTGTGTGTGTGTGTGTGTGTGTGTGTGTGTGTGTGTGTGTGGTGTGTGTGTGTGTGTGTGTGTGTGTGTGTGTGTGTGTGTGTGTGTGTGTGTGTGTGTGTGTGTTTGTGTGTGTGTGTGTGTGTGTGTGTGTGTGTGTGTGTGTTCATTCACAGGATAAGGTGCGTCTGCGCTTCAAACTGGCGTTCACACTCGGAGACCGTCTGTGCAACGAGGTCGGAGAGGTCAACCAGTTCCCCCCACAGGAGAGTTGGGGTCATCTATAGGAGCGAAGATGCCTGCTTCTTCTAGGCAGGGAGAGCGGGTCGTACTCCATGAAGGGTTTGTGAATTCACATCCATCCCAGAGAGGAAGGAGGGGAAGGTGGAGAAATTCAGCTGCACATTCCTTATAGTTGTTCATTTCCCTCGCTATTGTCATTACCGGCAGTGAGAAGCTAACAGCAGACACTGGAGTATTTATACAGTGCTCGTATACTTTCCTGCAGATGGCTAACAAACTAAAGATATGCACTTGCAAGTAGGACAGTAGTGCTGTTTACAGGGCCTGAGATGAATATTTTACTAGATTTTGCCCAAGAGGATTACAACACATGTTAATGAACTCTAAATATTCCATGCATTAGAGCTAAGCCCCTGACTGATTGCTTCATAACAAAATTACTGTTAAAATAAACTAACCTCTAAATTAAAGTGTCCCCCATTTAGAGGAAGTACCGTTGGTGCCACTGTCCCAAAGACTTTTGGATTGTTTATCATTTTCCCTCCAAAATAAACATTATTGTAACCAATTTCCTGCTGCATGCTATTCAGAGTAAATGCAGTCAACAGCTTTTTGCCAGCAACAAAGGGTCTCTTTGCAACAAACGAAACAACTAGGCTTTTTGGGGGGTTTTGGTTGCCTTGTGACAGACAGAATTGCATTTGGGAACCAATCCTAACATTGATGTAGTCATTATTCTACAGCCATTACATGTTCGAAATCAAAGCAAAAACATATCTATCGTCAATTTACCAGAGCCTAAGACACAACAGTTTTTATTTATTTATTTACTCTATACTTTATATACTTGAATATATCCATTTGAATATGGGATCCAGTAGATGTCTTAAGATGGAGTTCAACTGGACAATTAATCGGTTTAGTAAAAGGTTTTAAAATAATTTCAGCCATCAAGATTTTATTATATATATAAGGAAACTTAGTGTGATCAGTAATAATTTGTTTTGCCATGTTTCAGATAAGTCGACAACCATGTTTAATTATCTGCTGTAATGGCAAACAACTGCAAACAAGGTTTGATATTTTTAATTATATCGTTAATATTTGAGGCTACCGAGTCCTGTTTTATGTCATGTGATTACATTTTGAAGGTCTGATTTGATTGTCTGCTTTTCAGTCATGCTTTAAGCAGTCGGTGGTTATATTTTAGTCGTGTATTTACAGATCTTAACTCGTCTACCGGTGAAAGTATTGGGAGTATTTTTGACACATGTATTACTTTATGTTCTGTTAATAGTATTTCAGTGCATCACTGAACCTAGAAAATGAAGTGAACTGAAAAATCTGAATTTAAAATGTAGTTTGAAAGGGAAGTCTGTCACCAGGAGGATTAGTGTGTCTTCAGCAGTGGGTGAATTGATCTGTGCTCCACCCCGATCCCCCCCCCCCCCTAGGTCTCCTCAACTTGTCATGTACAGAAGAAGTGAGTGTTTCATGTACATAGTCCGTAATGTACCTAATGTTTGCTGTATGACCAGTTATGTGAACATGTGACGTGTAGATTTTGGGAGAGTTAGGTCTGTACATACTGTATGATGTGCCATTTGTTCGCTACATGGAAAAATAAATATTTCTTTCAATGGATGTCTGCTGTTCGGAGGTAAATAACTAACCAAAGGTCAACAACAATGTACATCATGAAACGGTTTTATTATCAAAGAGCACATGTTGATAACTCAAACTTTATATACAATACAAAAATGAATAATAAGAGTTGTTTTTAAATGGCATCATTCATGTTGACACAGTTCCCTCTTTGACTATAGCCATGGCCAGGTTCCTGGCCAGAGCGAGTCTCAGGAGCTCCACCTTGGTCTGCTCGATGTCTTCATCCTGAAAAGACAAAAACACTCACATTAAGTAGTGTGCTTGTGTCTTTAACATATAGACAAAATGAACTTTACAGCACCAGAGTTAAGACTGTGAATTAGAAGTCAAATAATTAATTGTTCTGTAGGAGTTTACCTTGAAGTGGAAAGGATGAACACTAAGCCATTTGTGCCCAAAAGACCATATTTAATATGATAAGAACGCCACAATTTGTTCTGATACATCTAAAGTTTGAAATCTGGAATAGATATGTCTGGGCAAGTATCGAACAGTCCAACTTTGACAATTTTAGTTCACATTAAAATACCTAGTCAAAACACTTTGAAATATTATAACATTTGTTAATTTAGTTTTTTAAATGTCTTAGATATGGAATATTTGTTTACACTTCATATAGAGGGCACACATATTAATAACTTGCTTAGTTATTAGTATCTTTTTAATTTTGCACCAAATGTACATCGACACCAATCAACTATTAAGAAAAGCAGCTGCTGACACCAACACTAAACAGCTGGTCTCTCTTGTACACACTGATCAGGATTAAGGCTGAGAGGAGAGGCGTACCTGCATAGTCCCGTCTGTGGCGGGAGCCACGGAGCTCAGAGAGGAGGTGAGCTCCTCCAGACAGAACATCAGCTCGTAGGTCTGGCCGGCCGAGAAGATCACCTAACATTCAACAAACAAAGACACCTTTTAATCAAGAGACTGAACAACTTCTTCAAATCATTGAAGTTCCTCTTTTGTTCATTTGTTTCCCCACATATAACAAGTTTAATTTTATTAAATGAAATTTCACCAAAAAAAGACATGATAATTTCTAAGATCGTGAGATTAGTTATTGGAAATGCATGATCAGAATAAGACCCAAGTGTATTATCCAGTCACACACATGCTTTGAAGTGAATTGAGTAATGAACAAAGATCTCATACACCAAAACAGAATTACTAAAGACAGAACTGGGCTCAATATATCTGCAACTATTTAGATATAATAAATAGATGTTGAGGGTTGTTTCCAAAGGAAAATGGGCTAAATGTTCTGTGGAAATGTCCATATGGTGAATATGGGATTTTTTTATCTTCCATCAGAGTGAACTGAATATCTTTGCACTGTCTGATGTTTTTTTTATATATATATATATATATATATATATATATATATATATATATTAAATATATATATATATATATATTAAATATATATATATATATATATATATTAAAGCTCAACCATATTGAAACTAATCCTTAAGTTGCAGCCCTTTGTTGACTCTGATGTATGTGTCTTTAAAAAATATCATATTTGATCAATATGTATAAAGAAATGACAAAACAATAGAAATGGGGCAAACATTTATATCAGTTTAGCATTTGAATGTTACATGGTAATATATCCTAACTGGAACAATGTGATTATATTGTTAAGAATTCATATCAACAGTTTACTGCGCACAGCGACTGACCTCTTTCTGCTCCAGCAGCGGCAGGGCGTCGGTCAGCAGGGTCATCCAGAAGCTGCGGGGGGCGATCTTGGCCGTCATCAGGGAGAGGAGCAGCTTGGCCGCCTCGCCGAAGCGCTTCTCTCCGTACAGCCGGTGGAACTCACGGTACTTCCCTAGGAGTGAAAAGACAGGACCGTTTTCTGACCTGCTCATGCAAATACTTTTAATACCACTAAGCTAATGCTGACAAACAGTAGATGTTATCATACGGTATAAAAGTGCAGTTTAATAACATCTGCATGAATCGTTCACACACTTATTTACATATAATCTGCTTTTACTGATCTCTTTTTCATCTCTGCTCCTCTCGCAGTGTTTCAGACATCACTGTCTGTGTATGTGCTTTTTTCAGCAATTAAACACTTAGAACTAGGGCTATGCAATTAATCGTATTTTAATCTCGATTACGATTTTGGCTTGCAACGATTACGAAAACAACGTAATCGAAATAAAACGATTATTATTTTTATTAAAAAAAAAAAAAATGTAATTATAATTTTTTTTTGGTTTTTCAGTTGAATTACACTTAAAGTTCAGGGTAATCAACTGTTAAAAACATACTGTTCACATTTTTGTTTCAATAAATGGATGTTTTCAAAGTAAATGGATAATCGTTTTTAATAATCGTGATATCAATTATTGACCAAAATAATCGTGATTAGGATTTTTGCCATAATCGCACAGCCCTACTTAGAACAACTTTAAATTATGTCCCCTGTAAAATATAATTCATTTGTATTATTAAAACATAGATTTTGTTATAAATCATAATCTATGGTAAAGTAATTTCTTTATATTTACTGTTCTCTTTTACAAATGGTTTATCTATTTTCACAGATGTTTTTCCAGTAGATCACACGGTCACATGCTGTTGGATTAAGCGGTACATAGCTTTATTTATATCTGGGTGTGCACACATGTCTCTGTGTCTGAGTCTCATGTGATGTCCTAGACATTTTGTTTAAGGGAAGCTGTACAGGAGAAAATCTGCCCTGACTGAATGTCCCTTCACTTCATGTGTGAATCTAACTTGTGAGTCACAAGTTGAGCAGTGCTGCAAATGCTGAAGTGTGTGTGTGTTTGTTTATGTGTGTCTGTGTTTCTAGTTCGTACCAAGGAAAGTGAGCCGGTCGCTGAGCAGCATTGCTGGACCCAAGTTGTCGATCAGATCCAGATCAGAGAATGTCCCTCTGGCGCAATAATCCTGTAGAAACCTGACACACACACGGAGACACTTTAGAAACCACCTCACAACAAAGTGCTTTCAAAGAGAGACCAGCCAAATACAATTTATTTAACACCTGAAACAAATCATTTCTAATTATTTACACTTCTCTTATGTCAAAGGTCTCTCCAGAATACAAGAGAACGGCCCAATAATGGCTGGCTGACAAACATAACACAACTGAAACAGGGCAGCTTTTTCTTCGCTTTAGGTGTTATCAGCCAAAGAAATATCATCCCACAAGATGAATCTAATCACAAAGTTGCGGAGGATAAAAGCATGCACGTGTTCAGGGCCGGTTCTAGACAATTTGATGCCCTAGGCGAGATTTTAGCTGGCCGCCTATGCCAAAGACTGGCCCTGCACGTGTTTGATATCACAGTTAGGAATTTCCAGAAAGCCCACAACAAGCTTGTTGTTCAGAGTCCATGGTGTTGAAGAGGGAAAGACAAACAACTCTCTGATGAGGGGAAGAAGTATAAAAAGCCTTTAAATGGTATCTTGAAGAATTGAGGTGTTAAAGAAACTAACCTCTCTGAGATGAGGGTGGCGAAGGCAGCATCTTTGGCCCTGATGCTCCAGGAGAGAGCTGAGCCCAGCCTGTTGTTCTTCAGGGCTCGCATAGCCATGATCTTACAGATGCTCCGCACTGGATGAGGACAGGAAGTTAAAGGTATAAGTCCTAACTGCATTGGCAGAAACACATTTAATGTCGGTTTTTGTGAAAGACAGGTGGATACAAGAGGAAGAAAGTGCTACCTTGCTCTGACATTTGCCTCTGCTCGCAGATCCTGAGCACCTTGAGGGCTTTGCGCTCCGTGTTTAAAGGAACACGCTCAATCTGCAGCTCCAGGTACACCCGGCCTAAATCTGGGCAGTGGTCAAAGTAATCCACGGCCAACTGCCAAAGACTAAACACAAACACATAATCATCCTTTAAGTTGAGACATTTGTAGAACCAAGTCAAATGAACACCATGCTGATGTCTGGTGTTTCAACAGTGCTGACAACCTCTAGACTAAACTAAAGAGTCAATTAGTTAGCATTAATAATCATCATAATTTGCAGATCCAAAAGCTAATGTATAAAGACTGAACATGTTTGCCTACTTTGAGTTAACCCGAGTAGTTAAATACACCACTTAACATTATTTCTATACCATAAGGATAATTATAGTACTTAGATAACCATACCTGTGATGAGTGAAGAGACCAGAAGCATATTCTAGCAGGAGAAACTCTCGCAAGTTGGATCCAAAACTGAACACACCAGAATGGTAGATGTTAAATGGATAAAGAGTGCAATCTATTTATCTCCAGATTAAAATGATATGCAGGTACAAACAGAGTAGAAGTCTTACTGCAGATTGTGAGACTGGAGGAGATGGCAATGATCCAACAGATCTGTCAAATGGGCCACAAACCACCAGTTGTTGAGAGCAATGCTGAAGAGACACGTGGTGGAAACATTAGAAAAGAGTGAAAGATAATACATGAAACTATAGGATTGAACCCGCTTGGCTTTTATGTACTGTATATTTGGATGTATATATTGATATTATTCTGCATGTTACCTGCACTCCTTGATGACTTGGTGGATGTCAAACTCAAACGCAGCCAGTAAAATGTTGTCCAGGGGTTCAGGGACGCTCCTCGAGTCCAGAAACATCGTCATGCAGGACTGCACAAACACACAAACACAAACACACGCACACACACACACACACACACACACAGTAAATAGCAGGAATAAAGAAACAGTGAAGATAAAAGCGGAGTGTTGAAGCGGTTAGTGTAGGTTACCTGTGCATAGTAGTGCAACTCTGTGGGTTGGACTGTAGGGTGGCTGAAGAGTAGTCTCGTGACCAGGAAGTGATACCAGGTGCCCAGGAGCTCCTTGTGCTCCAGCAATGTGTCTTCATCCCCAACTAGGATCTAGAATTTAGTCAAAAATAAACTAAAACTAAAACTAAAAAGAAGTAACTGTGATATCGATGTGACTCATTCAATGATTAAGCCTTAATCAGGACATCTCGTTGCCAACAGTTTAACACAGATTCAGGTCATTTTGCATATTTTGTACATGTAAGAAGTAAATGGACAGCAGCTCGAGCTGACTGAAGTCACTGACCTTGCAGATGATCTCCAGATGTTTGTTGCTGGCGAATGAATTGTCCTGCAGGCAGCGGTCCACCTCCTCATGCCAGTGCCTCCACTTCACATCATACTCTGTCAGCGTCTGGTTGCCTCCAGGCTGATGATTATCAGAGAGTTCAATTGGTTGGTTTTAGAGCAATACATTGTGCTAAATTCCTGCCTGTCTTGTATGAACATTACTGGTACGTTTGCATCAGTAATCAGTGAAGCTGATGTGTCAGGAAGGTACGATTAGATTGGATTTTGTTTTACCCACTGCATGAGCAAAATACAGATACAAAAGATTATATGTCAGAAGCAGCAGCACATTGTTTGGTCAAATAATGGCTTGTTAATGCTGTTAATCAATGTGTCATTCTGCATAATTGAATTACACATGTAGGTGTGACATGGGCATATTAAAAAGAACCAACCAACAGTTGAGTGCACCTCTTCTTGATAAATAAAGAAATGAATTTGCAGCAAATCATTAATATGAATACCATCAAGCTACACATAACAGAAACCAATGAAAGAGGGTCTTACATTGTAGAAGGGCATCTTGCTGAGCAGAGTGTCCATCAGCTTGTACATGTTCCTGGGGGCAGGGTGTAGGGTGGCCTGCTTCACTAACATCTGTCTGGATTCTTCCAACCTGCCCTGCATCACGTAACTCAGCACCTGCATAGCACAGATACAAAACAATTGATAACTGAGATTTCACACCAAAAAAAATCAGCACTGTAGTTTGCGTGTGACTGGCCTGGTTTCTAAAGACAGAAATGTGTGTGTGTGTGTTTGCTCTGCACCTACCACATCCCAGTAGTCTTTGTGCTCAGCAGGGCTCTCACTCTGCAGCACTTCTCTGGCCTTTTCATCCACATCAGCCTTGTGTAACCTTACCCAGTCGAGTAGGTGGAGCAACAGGGAACCAGCTGAGGACACACACACACACACACACACACACACACTGGTGAATTGTTTGTCTGGGTGCTTTCAAAGTCACGTTATAAAATGTATTACAAAGCTAGATTAAGTATACAACAACCAAAAAAACTCTAACCTGGAGCAGAATCAATGAACAGCACTTCAGCCAGATTCCAGATCAGCTCTATGGCCAACAGAATGGACACCTGTAACACCAAACAGAAGCTGACATTAGGACTGTGTCAATGGGAAAAGAACATTAGTCAACATTTCAATTAAAAACGAATATTTATTCCGCTGCACCTTAACATTTACTTATTGTAGCTAATTCTAAATTAATTTATTTCCATTTATTTGTTGACACTTTTATTAGAAGAGATGTTTTCTGAAAAAAACAAAGAGCATATATTTCAAGGCATATTGATATTTACAATATCCAGTATGGAATCCTGTATGTGCATTATTAGTTTACTTTACACATAAGGATGTCATGTATTTGCAGGTTATGGCACAGATACACATACAGCAGTGGTACATACCTGATTTCCATATTGCATGGCCATTTTTGCATCTTTTGTGGAAACTGCAGAAAAGAGAGAAATGCAAATTAGATATTTCCTGAGTAATTACATTAAAGACTAAGATGCTGGTATTATATTATAAAATTCGGACCTGCAACTTGCTGAAGCTCCTCCATACAGGCTCGTATCACAGATCTATAGTTTTTACTGATGCTCACAAATCTAAGGAGGAAGACAGAGACAAATCATTAAATTAAATAATTTTTGCAGGTGTCTATCTGCCTTTCGTAACAAAGATTTAATTTGTTGAGAAACGTTACAGTGACATGCACAGGAAGGAGCCATCAGTTGGCCTTACTGGGGTTTTTTGTTCTTGCTAGGGAGGTCTTCTTTAATTGTCTGCAGGCCAACAAAGATGTGATGTGACTCATTGAAGAGTTTCCGTAAAATGGGGGAATATATGTCCTCATCTTTCCTGACCTCATGGACGAAGGAGCAGCCTGATCCTTTGGCACCTGAAAATACAGAGTGGACCATCAATAACAGAGTGATATTAGGTAAGAGAGAGAGGAAACATACAGACAGGCTTGTCTTAGTGTCTACACATACCTGGTGATGCTTTGTAAAGGGTCTCGTACACAAGGATATCACCTGGACCCCAGGCAAATCCCAAGTGCTTCCCATCACTGGCTGCAGGAATATTCTGTATTTTAAAAGGGGAGACAAAGTCTTTAGACTGAAACAGGTGATCAACAAATTAAATAAGAACTTAAACTGTGTTTTGTTCTTGGTTTTTTTAAACATGAAATTCCTCTCCAATGCATGATTCTTTATCGTTGGACAGTTGGACATTAGGCTAGCACAGGCATTATATATTTTGTATGATTATATTTTGTTTAGCTAATATGAATGGAAAGCAACTTGTAACTACAGCTGTCAGATAAATGCAGTACAAACAGTTTCTTCTGAAATGTGATGGTAAGGAAGTAGAAAGTAACAGAAAGTAGAAATGCTTTAGTAAAGTACATAAAATGTTTTCTTATGTTATCTAATAACTAACTAGCTTTCTATCACTGTCATCTTCATACTCTTGCTTCTTTGAGACCTTGTTCCACAGTTTTAAGAGGTATGTATTTATTGTAATAATCTTTAATGACCTGACACACGTTGTGGGCTTTTTGTATTCATTATATCATATCCCAATAATCTAGATCAGACGTTTAGTAATGTTGTTGCGATACAGTTAGCTTGGTAGCATTGCTATCATGTGGAAGAAAAGAGAGAAGACTGAGCTCGTGCAGAAACTTACGGTGATGGCCGGCTCAACGTCCAACTCCTCCATCAGGGAACAATATTATCGACCCAATGAAATGTAAATAACGAAACTATTCAGCTATAAACACTCCACGCCATGAACTACAGGTGCCGTGCTGCTTACGCGCCTCAGTCATTCATACGAAAGCCCCCAGACGCAAGTGATATGACGTCACGGCAGAGGTGGCCTTCCTCCTGCCTGTTTTTCCATCTGCTGTGTTTTCTGCTTGTGGTGTCGTTTTGGTTCTTTTTTGTTATTCACGAACAAACATACAGATACATCCTCCGTGTTCTGTCACAAACACGATTTTTGATTTGATTTTGTGCAACTATATAGGTCTGTTTTATGTAAAGATATGTATTTTATATAGTTTGGTGCATCTTCATCACCAGACAGTAAAAAAAACAAGATGGCCACTGATTTATAGGGTTAAAAAGACGGGGAAATGTGCAAATACAACATTCCCAGTATAATGTCCTTTATGATGATGATGAATGAACCATAATGAGCTAATGAGAGGTCAGTGTGGTGGTGGGGTGCATGTTGTGGGATAACTGAACCAACAAACCTCACAACAAAAAGAAAAACATCGCTGTGCGCGTGCACGTGGTGCTGAGTATCCCTGTAACGCGCATTGAGACTCTCCCGCCCATGGCCAGACCGCGCATTCACCCATGTGATCACCGTTAGCCATTCGGAGCCCGGGGCTGTGGACGCGCACTTGCTCGTGACCGCGCACGTTCCATTCGAATATTTTAACCGGAAACGAGCACGTGCGCGTACCCGTATTCTTTGTGTGGCAGCGTAGAGAAGCGCCAAAAGAGTGACCATGGCTGATGAAAAACCAAAGGTAAGTGTTTTTTACATTTTTCCAAAAATATTTTACTAGATATGTGGCATAGGTGCTAATAGAAAAAAGGGGACATTTTTCACATGTTCTGTTTTACCTTAGTAAAGTTGTGAGCTAAAATTCAACTATCAGCTGTACCTACTTTGATAGACCGGAAGGTTTGTGAACGCGCATCCAGAGGCGCGCATTTCTCTTTCTGCTTGATCACACACAGCCGACCAGCTGGTGTCATCTGTCTGTGTGTGTGTGTGTGTGTGTGTGCGTGTGATGAGAGAGATTGAGTGGCTCATAATGTAAATCCTATGGGTGCAAATGGCAGAAAGTTTGTAGCAGTGTTACAGCGTTATGCCATTACAACTGATGCACATTATTTATTTCTTGATATATCAATACTTATATTAGCCTGTGGGCAACTGATTGAGACAAAATGTAAACAAAGGGAACATTTGCCTCAGTAAATGAAAGAAAAAAATGAAATAATTCTTCATAAAATTGGGCATTACTCATTCAGCCACTCTGAAGTAAGCACCTGTTTTCATTTAACCAGTTAACATTGGAGGCTTCATCTTATTTTATTAATCAGATACTCATTTGTTAAATGCAAACAATGATGACAGTTGCTGATCACAAGAGAGACAAGAGTTCTTGAAAAATGTAAATATTCTGATCTTAATTACATAGTGAAATCATTATTTTTGTTGATTGTCTGATTAATCAGCTGTTGTTTACTCCATGGCTGTGTTAATTGTTTATTTTATCTGACTTTATCCCTCAGGAAGCAGTGAAGACAGAGAGCAACGAACACATAAACCTGAAGGTGGCAGGTCAGGATGGCTCTATAGTGCAGTTCAAGATCAAAAGACACACACCGCTCATCAAACTCATGAAGGCCTACTGTGATCGACAGGTGGGCATGACACAATAATAGCACAGAAAACAATAGCTGTTCAGGATGATGTTAAAGATTTATTTCCTAAACCAGTGGTCACAAATTAGTGCGTTGTAATTTTCACCTCGTACAGCACTATAGCCTATCCTTTTCTGTTATACTGTATTCGTAAAGAAGAAGGATTTCTCTCTTTTGTACACTGCCATTTGGTAATTTAAGTCTCTGATCCTTATAAAGATAGCTTTGATATAATTACCCTCACATGTTTAGCTTAGTATCCGTCATAAAGAAAAATATTCCAGGAGTCGATTATCTACTATCCAGTCCGTTTTTGTCCTTTATAATTAGGCTGTTAAGCATAAACGGTGGGTATTTTAAACACCACTTAATTAAAAAGCCAATGTTATATCTTAGATAAGGTTTGAGTTCCTCCGAATTACTTTTTAACTGAGCTCTTGTTTTAATACTGCATTGTCTGTAATGTGTAGAAACTGTCCCCCTTGGAATTGTAATCCTTTTGAGGTGAAAAGCTGTAGCACCTGGACTAATATTCACACCTACTTCATGTAATACATCCTCTCGTGTGGATTTTTGGAACAATGTGTTGGGTAAATGATACAGTCCCTCCTGCAAATTCTTGACATAACTCCTGCTCTCTCCTAATTGGCCTTTTTCGCTGGCTGCCTACCATTTAAGTGTACTATTCAGTATGCACAAACCTGGGGAACTGTGACTGGCACAGCTAAATATAATGCAGCCAATATTAGATATGTAAATATCTGTTTTCCATATTATGAAATGCAATTTTTTTGGCCATTGTTAAGACTTATCAAAGCAACATCATTGATGTATGCAGATGTTTAATCTTGTTTAAATACAAAAAAAGCTAAGATAAGAGTTATTTATGTTCAGCCTTTTCACACGTATCACTCATTCATACAGTGAAAGAGCTATTGTTATACAGGATACTTAATAGTGTCCATCGAATCGAGGTTGTGTCCATGAGACAGATCATATACCGCATCTATAGCGACTATGCTGTGTGGTTAAAGGTCATACCTAAAATAAAAGCCAGATGGTTCTCACTAAAACGGGATTCCTCATGGTAATGTTTCTAGTCGGTTTTTTTTTCTGAAAGAGTTATTGGTTTTTGTTTATGAGCAATGATCCAGGTCTGCTCTGTGTCTCTTTGATGCACATCTTCCCTCAATAACTGAACACAGCCTAAGGCTTCACCTTTCTCTCATCGCCCCCCCAACCAAATGTCCTTATCTACCTGTCTGTCTGTAACTCCATGTTAATCACAAAAGTTGCTTCATCTTTTCCATCAGCAGTTATCATCATTTGAAGTTGTCCTTCACCACCGTACTTGCTGTAATCATATGCAGGAATGCTGACTTGTTCTAATTAACAGTTGGGATGAGTGCCAGTTCGGTTCCTAAAATTGTTCTGTAATCTTGATTGCAACTCTGATTGCATGGCTCCAAAAACAATCCTTAGGGTTGGATAACTTTCATATTCTGAAGCATCTGAAAAGTAAATAGAATATCAAAAGCAATGCAAAGTCTGACAATCCTCTTTATCTGAAAGTCAAATGAGGGTTCAGCTCTCTGGAAACTCAATGATGTCCATTCCTTCTACTGCCAGCAAAGCAAAAGAGACATGTTAGTCATGCAGCTCATTTTCAAAACTACGATGAGAACCAGATGTTTTTCATTATTTCTTTATTTGTGTTTCACTGAAAAAGATTGTATAGCTCAATATTGTTCTACTACTTTGAAACTACAGCAGGCTTACCTTAAACAAGGAAACACATGCTTCAAGCAATTATACATTAAACAACTTTAAGAACTCAACTTTTATGTGATTCATTTTTGTTAATTTAAAAAAAAATGCCCCTTTTTATTTTTGTATTAATGATATATGACTGTTATTTAATGATCTTGTCTGCTCTCCTCTCTTGTGTTTCCTTGTTTGGTTTCCAGGGACTGTCCATGAGGCAAATCAGGTTCAGATTTGATGGCCAGCCAATAAATGAGACAGACACACCATCGCAGGTAAGTGTGAAGCCTTGAGACAATTAGTGTAGCATGTCTGCTTGAACATGCTTCAGACGCTTCCATGTGTCAAAACCCAGCACGGGTTGCATGCATTTGTGCCATCCTTATCAAGCAAATATGCACATCTCAGACATTCTTTTGGAAATATTCATAAATGGATGGAAATGTAAACAGTTTAAAAAGTTAAATGGGCATGAGATCACCCCCCAGTGAGCAGTATGTTGTAGGAATGTCTGTAGGCTGAAAGCCGACACACACCAGATCTTTGTGTTGTCATTTTTGCGGATACACTGACATGGAAAGCATCTAGATGCCTCAGGCTTTCAGAACACACCAAACTTAATTTGAGTTGCTGTGTTCTCCAACTTGTGTTGAGGAGACACAACTTCTATGTTATGGCATTTTATTAAAATGATGTGGAAGCCTTGCTCTGCAGTCTGCACACTATGGTTATCAAAGCCTAAAACAATGTTTCATTTTCACTGCGATGGTACCATTTTGCCTATGCAAACAACACATTTAAGTTTTTACATAGAATATTCTCAGCGTTGAAAAACACGGATATTAGTTAGCATGTTTGCGCTTCTGGTTTCCTATAAGGTCAGTGAAAGTTATTTTGTATAATAGCTTGCTGAAAAAAAACCTGCTGTAAGTATAATTAATGATGGTTAACCACAGAATATATTTTCTTGTTTTTTGAATAATTCCAAAACCCAATAGAATAATCTCATTGGCCTTTTGTCGAGGTAACCAGTGTCCTGCTTCAGGGTTAGTGTACAAAAGCACATCATGCCTGCAGCCAGTATAGTATATTGTGTGGGAAAGAGGTTGCACCCAAATTTAGGCTAATCAAAGTCATGACTCATGTTTATAAAACTTTTTCTCTTAACAGTTGGAAATGGAAGATGAAGATACAATTGACGTGTTTCAACAACAGACGGGAGGCCTCATTTAATCCACTGCATTGTTCACCATTTTCCTTTTCAACACAACCAAGCTTCCCCGCCTGCGAGACACAGCGACTGCTTCTTTGACACTTGTCCCGTTGTCTCAACAGATTTCCATGCAGAAGAAGTTGTCCTTTCTGCTACACAAAACTGTTGTATAGTATTTTCAAACTTGCCCTTGCTACATGTCTGTTTATGTACATAAACCACACCCAGGTCTTGTTTGTTCATGCTGTGTTGTGGACAATGTTAAGGACGTCCTCTCGCAAGGCAGCAGACAGAATGAGACGAAATACAACTGACTTTTTTTATTAAATGTTGTTGGGCTAGGCTTGGTTAGTCTCCAGGAAATCTGTTCTCAAACATGTACTACTTTGGGACTGGCTATCACTTGGGGGACAGTGCACCCAGTTTTGGGAATGGGGCTGCATTTTCATTTGGTTTCTGTTATCTGAGAAAAACTATTTGATTTTTTTTTTTTTTTTTTTGTAGTGAATGTGTAGAAAAATGTTTGATTAATCGTTTGACTAGGCCAATATTCACATTTTGGGAAGCCTTAAGAAGTTCTCAGTGAAATAAACATCTGTATTCTCTAATAATAAGCCTGTCAAAATAAAAATATTGTCTTTTTCCAAACGTCTTGTCTTTTTTTGTGTTTAACTGCAAGACCAGATCATAATTTTGTTGCATAATTAAGAGTTTTTTTTTTACCAAGAACCCTTTGAAACATTTAAAATGTATACAGAGCACCACCTCATGCATGTCCCATGGAATAACTTGATTAAGCCTATTTTTACCCTTCTAAAGTCTTGGTTGTGTCAAAAATAACACAAGAGATAATGGATTTGAAAGATATCGGACAACTATTGAACGTATTTACAGATGTATGAGATTAAGTTCAAATACATTTTCTAATTTATTTAGTTTGTTTCAAATACTTTTTTTAGTTTTGGGGAAAAATATGGTAGGGTTATTTCATTAAATAAATTGAAAACGTCCTTAGGGCAGAGTGACACAGCTCACACTGAATAGCTGGACTATTTATTTATGACTAAAGGTTAGTCCCCATAATCTTCACCTCAAAAATCATCTATTTTGTACACCTTACACTGCAGTTTTAAAACATTTTGCAGGTTGTCATGATCAATGCTAATAGATTAGATAGCATGAAAAAAAGGCCTCAGGGATGTGGTCTCAGCTGTCTGAAGCAAAGACCTGCCACCAACAAGAGAGGCTGAGGTTCAGTCCAATCAGAGACGAGTTTGATGATGTGCTGTCCAATCAGAGACGAGTTCTATGATGTTGTTACCAATCAGCGCGGGTCGAACGCTGGTGGGCTGGGTCTGGTGGGCTGGCACCGCAGAACCAGTGGATCTGTTCTTCGTTATGATTTGTCAGTGTCGGGTGGAGTCTACATCCCGTCGCAGCTCTGCGGGGAAGGAGGAGGACTGGACTGTTTTTTATTAGTTTCTTGTCATTCACTCTTTGTAAACCGCCGAGGCGTCGACATTTATCCATAAAGATGACTACGACAACCACTTTTAAAGGAATGGAGCCTGGTTCTAAAAGCAGTTCCAGGTAAAAACAAGCTGAAAACCTTTCACCGAGGAACAAAAGAAGTGTGATGCGGGCCAGCCTCTCTGCTAGCAAACGCCTCTGTTCTTCCCAACGGGCAGCCTGCTACCCAACGTTAGCCCGCTAGTGGTTGGGTTTAGCTAAACTGTCATAGTCTTGCTAATTAAGTTAATCTTATTTGGGGACTGATTCACCACACAGGCGTTAGCCACACTACGTGAGTTAGGCTGTAGCATGGCTGGGATTAGTAGTACATCGATAATGAGGCGTGCGAGTTTAAGAAAGAAAAGAAAGGAACACGGAGTACAATAAGGGGTGTTTTCTGTATTTAATTTTTCGAGAAGAATCATGAAAGCTACCTAAGGTTAGCCTGTCTGCTTTACTGGCTGTGGTCGACCTCAAAATAACTTTTTTTGTTGCTCAAGACACATCTCTTGTCATGCGGTAATGTCTAAATGTGCTGTTGTCTGAAGTAGCTAATTTTACCATATCTAATATTTTTCCCGTCTCGATTTGTAGTATTTTCTCCAATAGAGGAGGAAATGTACATCTCAGCGGTCCAGATATGAGATTGATTGCAGGAAGAATCCTAGACGAGACATGGGTCTGCATATGTCATTAAAGGGGATATGGCTCATTGTTGGTTATAAAATGGAAGTTTAGAGAAGCTAATATCCATTTGTAGGCCTAGTTTCAACACGCATGTCTAAGCTGTTGTCTTTGGTTTACAAACATCATCTGTTAAATCTTTTTATTCCTGGTGAAACACCTTTTTAAGAGGGCCACTCATCCTCCAAGCATGCAGTCATAGCTTCCCAGTAAGTGATGCGTCTCGTCTGGATGCCTTCCGGGCCCTTTGCGGTAAAAACAATGCAGAGAAAAAGCCTTACATGTAATGCTGCCTCAGAAATGGGTCGTCAATTAAGGACATGTAGGACAAAAAAATGAGAGCTATCAGCGTTTTCATATAGAGAGCTTGTCAGATCTCGGTCAGTCATTAAGCGTTTTGAAGGCGCATGCTGTTTTCGGATGATGCGGAGACTTGGGTGGGGGCTTTGCGCAAGCTAAGCCTGTAAATCTTTCCTTGGCTCCTCGCTTTTGCTCCTTTTTTAAGCCGTTTTTACGAGTTGATGTTCATTTGTGATGCTGGCTGACCAAAGGGATCCGTACAGCAGCTCCTTGAGCAAAATGAGGCTAAATTCTTAGTAGGCCATCAAAAGCCTCCCACCCTGCCCTATCAGACAGGCCATCTTTGACTGTGGAGATCTGCCCTACTCCCTTAGCCTGAAGCTGCCCCCCCCAACCTCTAAACATTTATGCCATTTCATTGATTTTATTTGCAGTTTCACACTAGGGTGGGGTCTGCTGCCAGGCAAAAGCTTTTCGCCATCGCAATCCATGTGGAAAGCATGAGCTCATCCTCTCTGGCCGGGAGGTGAAGTCTGGTTTAGGCATTACTGTCACAGCCAAGTGTGACGAGCACTAGTGTGGACACAAGAATTGATTAAGAAAATCTACGCCAATGCAGTCCATGCGGTGTGGCTTGTCCTCATGTACTTTCTTTTGTAGCTTTCCTTCGAGAGAGCTGACTTGTTATTTGTACCCCATCTGCCTGCCTGGCCCTTAGACAGCTGCCCTGTGTGCAGCTGGTGGCTTCAGGGACTCTGAGAGGAGAGTTTGCTGGAAAAAGAGGGAGGGGTCCGACAGGGGCTCTGCAAACACACCAGTATTTGTGGTCCACCCCAACTGTCCTTCAACACAGCAAGGAAAAAGGCTTTCCCTCCTCATTATCGTGTTCCTTTTGTGTAGCTTGTGGAGAAAGGAATGTCGGTGGAAAAGCATTTGTTTACCAAGCATTAGTCTGCATGCAGGTTTCTATATTGTTCTAGAACGGTCTATATATTAGGTGACCTGTATTAGCTGCACACTTTTCACCTCTATTGTTTAATATTGACCCAAGAGGCGCATTACATTTCATTTACTAATTTATCAATGGTATAACAATGCTACCAGGAACTGACACCAAGCCACAGTGTGTCACAGCAAAGGAATCTGTGCCGAGGAGAGGCAGCAGCTAGCCAGCTCACTCTTTGATTATATGCGACTGGAGTCAGCTGCAGGGCAGAGATTGTGGCTGTCTGTCTGACAGGCTGACAGCCGGGGCTTACAGAGCGGAGACCTTGCTGGTAGCCAGTGTGTTGTAGTGAGTGTGTGGTATGGGGTGGAGTAGGAAGAAGGCTGTTCGTAGCTTGAGGCGTCCTCATGTTATATTTGATTATTGATTTTGCACTGTGCAGCTGATCAGTGGCATGTGACGGGAAGGCCTTGTGTTTGCATACATAGTGGGGGATGGTAGCATGGAAGCAGGATATCAATTAAATTATAATCCATCATTTGTTGCTCCTTTAGGGTACTACGACCGCCGGGCGGGGCCTCCAGCATCTCCTTTGGCGCAGACGAAGACTCAACCCCCCGCAAAGTGGTCTCCAACATCTTTGCAGAGCCTGAGGACCTCCATGCTCATCGGAGGAACAATCCACCCAGTAATACATCACTCTAACATATCTTAATGAATTTTCCGTGTGAGAAAACCAGAGCCAAAGAAATACAAACAATAGGGTTTGAGTTATTAGGTAACATTAACATTGTGAGGGTGTATACGCACTTCTGTGTGGACAAGTTCAATCTTGTAAAAGTAGACCACCAGAACTTTAAAGTAAGCAGAAAGCGCCACGGTCTTAATTCTTCTTACTCGAGCGTGGAAAAGATACAAATTGCAGTGTTATTAAGTGTCTTTCCATTTAGGCTGTCAGAAAGCACATCCCACAAGTGTAATAGCCAGAAAGAACTGGAGTACTGGGATAAGTGTAATTTGAAACTAGGCTTTGTTAGATGTGGATGAGCATCAGCCCTTAATGGAAAGAAATAGGTCAGTTTAAAAATGTGTTAAATGGAGAAACGTGTGGCCTTTTATAGACACAAGGGAGGTTTTATTTTGAGTACATGAGGAGAGGAAGGCAGATCCAGCAGTACGAGACCTGTGAATGGCTTCGAGTTGTCAAGGTCACTGCAAACGTTCAGCCACAGAGGCTTGAATAAAACATTTCTGACAATATTGTGCTGACACTTATGTTTATCATAATAATCCAGGTATTACTTTTAGGCAAATGTGATTCACTCTTTATTATGCATTATATATTATTGCTTGTAATGAAGGATGGGAATTGGTAACAAGTAAGTTATTATTCGATTAGGGTTTAAAGATTTAATAATGTTCTTAAAGAGGAAGAAGCCCTACAGCAGCAGGACTCGTTTGAGCTGGAAGCCATGAAGTTACTCACGAGCCGGGGATCACATGCTTTCACACTGGACACTTTGTGGGAAACAGTTTACATGCTGTAGCTCATTTTCTGGATGTGTGGACAATGAAGAATTTACCCTAAAATCATTACTCCGACCTTTATGGACAGCAGCTGGGGGCAGTAAAACCTTTTCCTGCTCTCATTGTTTCACTTGGGTCAAGTTCAGGGGAGCCTTCCCATAGCATGGTTCCCCAAAATCCTTGAAATCCTTGAAAGTTTGTGAGTTTGAAACTAGACATGGGTCATTGAAAGTTCTTGAATTTGTATATGTTGTCCAAGAATAGAAGGTTATTTTGATTTTTTGTTTTACTTTAAAAATGGCAAATATTTGATTTGAAAAAAAAATTATATATCCATTTTTTTTTTAATT